TTGCTCTTGAGAATCTCATTTTCCATACAATGATCCAAGTTCGAAACTCCAACCTTCCCTCCCTTCACACTCATCCAACCGTGGGATGGGAACTTCAATCAGTGGGGGGAATTTAGAACTTAATGTTGTTTCTCCTTCTCCTTCTTTCTGATTAATTCTGTATGGTTACATTGGCATGTTCCCTTCCTGATCAGCTACGATGGGTGCAAATAGCAGGAGAGGCCAGCCGTGGCAAACCCACCCACAATGGACTACCTTTATTGGACAAGTTTTATAGCCCTTCAACTCCCTGCACTGTGTGTGTGTGTGTGTATGTGTGTGTGTTGCTTAGATTGCTTTTGGGAAAGTAAGTCAGAAAAACAGCTGCATAGTTCAAGCAGCAGCAAGGGAAGGTTATACATTAGCCAGGATTATCTGTACTATTAAGTGTCTAGCAGGTCTTGGGTGCCTAGATAAGGTAAAAGTGGAGAATAATTAGCTAATTGGGAGTCAGAAATTTCTTATCACTAGGGTCAGGCAAAGGAAAGAGAATACCTGTGGTATTGCAGAGAAAACAAGGAAGAAACTAGCTTGGCAAAGCAACATTGTGTGTGCTGGTCAAAAGTGTAGTTCATCTGCAGTACACCCTGTATCAAGGTTTCTGCTGCGAATTTTGTTATTTCAAGTCCAGTGTTTTTGCCCGTTCCTGGCTCTTCTTAGTAAAAGATGGGTCTGAAGAGTTGGCATCTTGGTGGGGTCTAAAAACATCTTTATATAAAACCACTGCAGTTTAGTTAGGATGGTAGAGCCCCTTGTAATAAGCAAAAAACCTTGAGTTACGGCCCGAAGCAATTTCCTTTCTAATGGAAAGTCATTTTTACCCATTTCCTTTTCCTGCAAATATGTATTAGGCATCTTCACCATACCTTTGTGGGGTCATCTCTCAGTTAGACTACAGCAATGCGCTCTACATGGGGCTACCCTTGAAGAGTATCCGGAAGCTACAGCTGGTTCAAACTGCAGCTGTGCCAACAATGTTGGGTGTCCCTAGGATGGTACATATAACACCTTTGCTGTGGGAGCTGCATCGGGTGCCAGTCTGCTTCCGGGTCCAATTCAAGGTGTTGGATATCACCTTTAAAGCCCTAGATGGCATGGGTCCAGGTTACCTGAGGGACTGTTTCACCCCCATTACATCAACCCGTCCCACCCGGTCAGGCAAAGAGGGCATGTTGTGGACCCCGTCAGCGAGAGAAGCATCAGGAGGAGAGCCTTCTCTGCCGTTGGCCCACCCTTTGGAATATTCTCCCCCCAGAGGTGCAATGGACCCCTGCCCTCCCAGTTTTCCAGAAAGGACTTAAGACCTGGCTCTGCCAGCTTGCATGGGGTGATAAGAGTTTTAATCAATCCTGGGGGTGGCTGGCGCCCTGATGTCACTCCTGAGTTCTTTGCCAATTCCATCATTCATGGGATTTATTTACTATGTTTAAGATTGCTTTTATATTGAATTTTAATTGATTTTATCTCCTTTGTAAACCGCCCAGAGTTGCTTTTCAACGAGATGGGCACTGACAAATCTGATACATAAATATAAATAAATAAATCTCTCTACACTTAAAAGTAGCAGGCATAGATGGAAAGGGTTTTGTTCTTACAGCTCTACATATAAAAAGGTCGATACAGGAGATTTTTCACTCATGTTTTTATTGATTTCCACGGGTCCAGCACATTTAAGGTGAACTATGTAAACAGTTGTAACTGGTCTTATTTCCACCCTGCAATGAATAGATGCTTGGAAAAATACTAGAATTAATGGATGGATGGTGTGTGTACGCATGTGTGAGCGAGATCCTTTACAACAGCTTAAGCAGAAACTAGCATTTATTCGGTCTCCACACCACCTATAAAACAGAGCGTCATACTTGCACTTGGTCATGTATCTGTAACGACATTTAAATTTTTCACCCAATATGGACAGTTACAAGGCACAGGAAAAGGATAAATGAAGCTCTAAGGAAAAGGCGCGCTATCTTTCGTCACGTCTATGCTAGTTGAAAGTCAGGTGAACTTTGCACCTACGCTTTAGGAAAACAAGGTCTTTTGGAACTCAGCTGAATTCACATGGCAGACAAGGAGGTCTAAGGAATGACATTTCTCCATTCTGTGTACACATGTTGTGCGTGAAGATTTACTGACGCAGGCATGTATGTATTTGGAAATATAGGCACAGGGGACATTCAGCCAACACGTATTATTCCTTCATGGGCGTTGCCATGCACCCATGGCATTACATGACACCGGAACACTACAGACTCATTAAATCACAGAAACAAGTAAAAACCACGGTTCTTGCTCGTTTTTCAACGCCCCCTTCAAATTAAAATGAAATCAAAGAATGTCTATGAACTGATTGTAAAACCATCAGTTTACAGAAATTCTGCTCGGCCTCTACGGCCCTTGCGGAGAAGAGCTGGGTTGGGTGGGGGAATGCTGTTTGGAACCAAAAGCAAAGCAAAAGTAGCATCAAGGAATGGTTAGGGGGCAAAATTCCATGAATTTTACATCTGCAATGTAAAATGGGAATGCCTTGTGGAATCCCCACTGGACTAGTGAAATGATGACCCTCACCACTGTGGGGCTGAAGCTGTGAATGGGTCAATTGGTCTGCCGCTGATAGTTGGACAAGGAAAGCTACAGGTGCTGTGTGTGTTGTGGGGCCTTGCTGTTGTAGGGTGGGCTCCTAGTGCCATTAATCATCCTCAATATGTGTAGATTTAGCAATTAGTCTGAGCGTAGTCCTCTACCTGAGGACCCAGCAGATATGAATCACCAAAGAACGCTGAATGTAGATTGCATTACTTGGCCAGTGATACCGGATTTCCCTGCTCACAGAAGGGTTGACCTCTTTTACAAAGATCCTCTACTTTAATGAGCACCAGACTTCCACTGCTGTGATGCAGTACAGCTGGGATTCTGCCAACCTCAAACAGCTTTCCTCAATCTGGTGCCCCCTAAGCGTTTTGACCATAACTCTCAGCCAGAATAACCCCAGTGGAATTGAACTCTAACAGATCTGGAGGACCTGAGTTTAGGAAAAGTCATCCCCAAATGATATGACATCAGGGAAGTGTGCGCTAATTAAAATGGTGGGTATCTGCCAACGGTTAAGGCTACTGAGTTGGTTGTGGAAGCCCCAGAGCATCAGAGGCTAGCATTTGCAATGAACATAATCAGATTTTTCTATCCCATTTACAGATTTCTCCAGCCGTGACAACTGTCTACCTTCAGGAAACATCCACTGACTGATGTTTAATGATTCAGATTTAGATGATTATTCATGCCTCTCTCAGGCTTACCCTGCACAAGATGTGTAAGGGAGCTATTTCCAGAATCAGCAGGGTGCCTGGGTGTGTTGTGCTCAGAGACACTATGTGACCACAGCCTGCTGTGCATTGTTAAGGCAAGGTCCCACTGGGGCTTCCCTGGACATGAAGGTGAAAAGGGATCAACAAGCAGGAGAGGTGAGGGGACTGTATTTCAATGGGACTGAGATAAAACAATTATTTATTTCTCCTTTAAGGTCTGAGGATTGACCAACCAGACTGTGGGATCAATGCTCCAAACAACCAAATGGATGTTGCTATGGTTAGCCATTCAGTCAGAGGAGGGATTTGGGTGATGACCCTCAAAATGTTGCTGAAGCACAACTTCCAGCAGCTCCAGCCAACATGGACAGTAGACTAGCAAACTCTAGGAAGCTACAGGTCCTCCACCTCTGTGTTAGATGGTCTAATCTGACACAGAATTAGTGAATCAGGATTGAATACAGCTATACTTTGGGTGGGCCATAATTCTTCACAATTTTTAGGCAGGAGCAGTTACAAAGTGTTTTTCCCCCCTCCTTTTAATGAACAAACTGGCCACACGTTACCAACCAATGGCTGCCATTTTAATCCCAGAATGCTATTGCCATAATGCTATGTCACTCTTCCTGGAAACCAATTAACCAGCCAACAAATCAATCAATCAATCCATCCAATTATTTCACCCCATTCCTAATCCACTAAATGTGAATTAGGGGATTGTAAATTGATGACTTCCTCTCAACTACCAATTATTTAGAATTTCCTGATCCCCCTTATGGGTATATTTACTGAAGAATACAGAGCACTGTAATCTCTGAGAGGCAAAAGGCACAGAATTGGTACATGTCATCATTTCATAAACCCTACCTGTGATGTGGGAGTCCTTAACTCAGTAAATATGTGCATAGAAAATGTGGATTTAATTTTGTCTATTATGTAAGTGCATAGCTATACCCACCATCTGCTCTGAAATACAAATGATTCCTTTTTACTGTTCCCATGATATCATAGTCTGTTCCAGCCTTATTGGTTTGCTACAGAGACAGAATATCTTGCTCAGCCACAAATGCCTTTGCACACTAAAAAAATAAAAAAAAAAGCTGCATGTTCCCTAAGAACAGGACATTCCCAGAATTCTCTTGTCTTGATTACAAATTCTATAGTGGTGTCACTATGTCTAGAATGGAAGTCAAGATCTTTCCATGCCTTGCAGAAAGTACTCTGAGTTGGCCATTTGCATTCTCTTGGCTTGGTGGGAAATTTCCTTATCAAATAACGGGGGGGGGGGGGGGGGGGGG